AAGCAGTGGTATCAACGCAGAGTACTCCTCAGCCCGCGCAGTGGCCGGGCCCGGGTGTTCAGCGCGCAGCGTGGCGATGAACGCATCGAGGTGCAGGGCCGCTACACGGTCGGCTTCGACGACGGCAACGCCTATCTGGCCGCTGCGCTGGCCGGACTGGGCGTGGTGGCGCTGCCAAGCTACATGGCCGCGCCGCACGTGGCGCATGGCGAGCTGCTGCCGGTGCTGCAGGACTGGCAGCTGCCATCGATGCCGATGCATGTGATGTTTCCGCCGAACCGGCACATGAGCCAGCGGCTGCGGGTGTTCATTGATTGGGTAGTGGAGGTGCTGGGGTGAGCATCTGCAACGTTTCCGAATCCGCTCACGCGGCTGCACGTGCGAAAATCACCACGGCACGCAACAGGAAACCTGGTCACGCATGAGCCGCATCGTCGCACTGGATACCGAAACCACCGGCATCTCCCATCGGCTCGGCCATCGCGTGATCGAGATCGGTGCCGTCGAACTGATCGATGGCCAGCTCACCGGGCGCCAGTTCCACACCTACCTGCAGCCGCAGCGCAAGGTCGACTGGGGCGCACAGCGCGTGCATGGCATCAGCGATGCGATGCTGGTGGGCAAGCCGCTGTTCTCCAGCAAGGCCGCCGAACTGCTGGCGTTCCTGCGCGGCAGCGAGATGGTCGCGCACAACGCCACCTTCGACGTGGGTTTCCTGGACAACGAGCTGCGCCTGTCCGGCATTCCCGGCACGCTGGCCCAGCATTGCCGCATCACCTGCAGCCTGAAGCTGGCGCGCGGGCGCTGGCCGGGCCAGGGCAACAAGCTGGACGATGTACTGCAGCGCCTGCGCATTCCGGGCAACCGTGGCCTGCACGGTGCGTTGAAGGATGCCCATCTGCTGGCCCAGGTCATCCCGCACCTGCGTTGAGGCCCGCCACCGGGCGCGTTCAGCCACAGCCTGTGGGTAACTTGCGCAAGTGCTTGAACCCGTGCATAATGCGCGGCTCGCTGTGTCCGGTTTTCTACCGGGCGGCGCCCCCGGGAGCACGTCCCCGGCCGCCCAACGCCAGCGTAACCCTTTGATTCTCTTGACGTGTGGTGGGCAACCACCGAGGCCGCCGTCTCCCGGGCTACGGGCTGACACAACTTACTATCGAGGTGCGCCATGTCCCGCGTATGCCAGGTTTCCGGCAAGCGAGTGCAGACCGGTAACAACGTCTCGCACGCCAACAACAAGACCCGTCGTCGTTTCCTGCCCAACCTGCACGAGCGCCGCTTCTGGGTTGCCAGCGAGAACCGCTGGGTGAAGCTTCGTGTTTCCGCGCATGCACTGCGCACCATCGACAAGAACGGCATCGATTCCGTTCTGGCTGAGCTGCGTGCGCGCGGCGAAAAGGTCTGAGGAGTAGACGATCATGGCAGGCAAGCGCGATAAGGTCCGTATGATTTCGACCGCCGGTACCGGTCACTTCTACACGACTGACAAGAACAAGAAGAACACCCCGGGGAAGATGGAATTCTCCAAGTACGATCCGGTCGTGCGCAAGCACGTCCCGTACAAGGAAGGCAAGATCAAGTAATCCGCAAGGATTGCTGGTCCCCGCGAAGAAACCCGCCCTTGTGGCGGGTTTTTTCATGCCTGGCATCCAGGTGGTGGGTACTTCCTGCATTGCCGTGGTGGGTGCCGACCGTTGGTCGGCACGCTGTCCCCACACCCGGTAGGTGTCGACCTTGGTCGGCACACTGTCCCCCACACCCGGTAGGTGTCGACCTTGGTCGGCACGCTGGTTCAAAGCAGTCGAGCAAGCTCGACTCTACACACCCTGCTGGGCAGAATGGCCCATCACCTCCCGACGGGCGACGCGATGCTGTTCGAGTGGTTGCTGGGTTCGTACCTGCTGCTGATCGACTGGCTGATCCGGCTGGTCGCGCTGTGCTGGATCCCCACCCGCACCACGCCGGGGGCGGCGCGCAGCTGGCTGCTGCTGGTCGGCTTCGTGCCGCTGCTGGGCCTGCCGCTGTACCTGCTGTTCGGCCACCCGTGGCTGTCGCGCGAGCGCATCCGCCGCCAGGCCGAGGCCTCGCAGGTGATCCGCGAGGAGCAGGCGCTGCAGCACCGCCTGCGCTGGACCCCGCAACCGGACACCGCCTGCGCCGAGATCGTGCCGCTGGTGCAGCGCCAGGGCGATTTCATGCCGGTGCACGGCAACGCGGTCGACCTGCTGACCGACTACGACGAATCGTTGCACACGCTGATCGCCGACATCGACCAGGCCGAAGATCGCGTGCACCTGCTGTACTACCTGATGTTCGACGACGCGGTGGGCGAGGCGGTGGTCGAGGCGCTGCAGCGTGCGGCCGCGCGCGGCGTGCAGTGCCGCGTGCTGCTCGATGCGGTGGGCGCCAAGCGCGGCCTGCGCGCCTACCGCAAGCGCCTGCAAGCGCGCGACATCGAAGTGCGCGCGATGCTGCCCGGTGGCCTGCGCTGGCGGCGCAGCGGGCGCATGGACCTGCGCAACCACCGCAAGATCGCAGTGATCGACAACGAGGTGGCCTACGTTGGTTCGCAGAACCTGGCCGGCCCCGGGTTCGTGCCCGGCCACCCGAACCGCGAGCTGGTGGCGCGCGTGCGTGGCCCGGCGGTGGCGCACCTGGAAGCGGTGTTCGCCAGCGACTGGTACATGGAAACCGGCCAGCGCCTGGATGTGATCGCCGATGTGCCCGAGTGCAGCGATGACATCGCCACCCAGCTGCTGCCCAGCGGCCCGGCCTATCCGTACAGCAACGCGCGCGATGCGGTGGCAGCACTGATCCACCTGGCGCGGCGCCGGCTGGTGATGGTCACCCCGTACTTCGTGCCCGACGAAGCCACGCTGAGCGCGCTGCGCATCGCGGCGTTGTCCGGCGTGCAGGTGCAGCTGATCCTGTCGGCCAGCAACAACCAGCGGCTGACCTCGTGGGCGCAGGAGGCGTACTACGACGAGCTGCTGCGCTGTGGCGTGCGCATCGCCCTGTACGAACCGCAGTTCCTGCACGCCAAGCACATGAGCGTGGACGAGGACATCGCCGTGCTTGGCTCGATCAACATGGATATCCGCTCGTTCGCGCTGAATGCCGAAATCGGCCTGATCTGCTACGACCGCGCGCTGGTCCAGCAGCTGTGCGCGATCGAGGACGGCTACCTGCGGGAGTCGCGGCAGCTGGACCTGCAGCAGTGGCGCAGCCGCCCGACGTGGCGGCGCAGCCGCGAAGGCATCGCACGCCTGGCCGATGCGTTGATGTGAGGCCGCAGTAACCGCCCGCTTCGGCACGCCGGCCTGTCATCGCCGATGGCCTACAATCGGCCCATGACTGATTCACCGCGTAATGGCGAACTGGACCTGGCGATCATCGGTGGTGGTGCGGCCGGGGTGCTGGTGGCGATCCAGGTATTGCGCCAGGCCCGTGCGCCGCTGGCGCTGGCCATCTTCGAGCCGGCCTCGCAGCTGGCGCAAGGCATCGCCTATGCCACGCCGTGGCCGGAGCATCTGCTGAACGTGCCGGCGGCGAAGATGAGCGCGTTTGCCGACGCGCCCGGCGATTTCCTCGACTACCTGATGGCCGCCAATGCCTACCCGGGCGAGGCGCGCGAGGTGCTGGGCGAGCGCTACGTGTGCCGCCACTACTTCGCCGCCTACCTGCAGCAGCGCCTGCAGGATGCCGCCGCGGCAAGCCCGGCGCAGCTGCAGGTGATCGCGCAGCCGGTGCTGGGCCTGCAGCCGGATGACCATGGTTACCGGCTGCAGCTGGGCGATGGCCAGACGCTGCACGCCGCACAGGCGGTGCTGGCCACTGGTAACAGCATGCGCCCGCTGCCGGTGGCCGGCGCCGATGCGCTGCCTGCCGACGATGTGATCGAGGCCTGGGACTACGACGGCGTACGCACCCTGGCCGGTGAGCAGGCGGTGGCCATTGTCGGTTCCGGCCTGAGCATGGCCGACACCGTGCTGGCGCTGGTCGCCGCTGGCCACACCGGTCCGCTGCACGTGATCTCGCGCCATGGCCTGCTGCCGTTGCCGCACGCGCACGGCGGCCTGCCGAGCTTCGACCCGGCCACGCTGCTGCCGATGAACCTGCGCCAGCGCCTGCGTGCGTTGCGCCAGTTTGCCGGGCAGGCACAGCCGAAGGTGTGCCGTGGCAGGGCGTGATGGACCGCATCCGTCCGCACGGGCAGGCACTGTGGTGCAGCCTCGATGAGGCCGACCAGCGCCGCTTCCTGCGCCATGTGGTGCGCTATTGGGACGTGCATCGCCATCGCATCGCCGAAGAAGTGGATTCGCAGTTGCAGGCGCTGCAGGACAGCGGCCAGCTGCGCATTCACCGCAGCCGCCTGCAACGCGTCTGGCGCGAGGGCGGCGCCGTGCAGCTGTCCGGCCGCGATGCCTCGGGCAATGAACAGCAGTGGACGATCGGCGGGGTGATCAACGCCACCGGCGTGGAAACCCGTGCCAGCGCGCTGCGCAATCCGTTGCTGCAGCAGCTGCAGGCCGATGGGCTGGCCCGCCCTGGCCCGCACGGGCTGGGCCTGGACAGCACGGTGCCGGGTGATCGCCTGTGTGCCACCGGCGGCCAGCCACAGGCACGATTGGGCGTGCTCGGCAGCCTGCGCATCGGCAGCTTGTGGGAAAGCCTGGCCGTGCCTGAACTGCGTCAGCAGGCGCACGCACTGGCCACCCAGGTGGTCGCAGGAGCCGCGACGGCGATGCCGTAAAATGGGGGCATGGATGTCTCCCACCTGCTTGATGGCCTGAACCCGGCCCAGCGCGAAGCCGTCTCCGCTCCCCCCGGCCACCACCTGGTGCTGGCCGGTGCCGGTTCCGGCAAGACCCGCGTACTCACCCACCGCATCGCCTGGCTGCATGAAGTCGATGGCGTGCCGACCCACGGCATTTTCGCGGTGACCTTCACCAACAAGGCGGCCGGCGAAATGCGCTACCGCATCGACGCGCAGCTGCCCAACGGCAGCCGCGGCATGTGGATCGGCACCTTCCACGGCCTGGCCAACCGCCTGCTGCGCCTGCACTGGCAGGACGCGAAGCTGCCCGAAGGCTTCCAGGTGATGGATTCGGACGACCAGCTGCGGCTGGTCAAGCGCGTGGTGCAGGCGCTGGAACTGGACGACGGCAAGTATCCGGCCAAGCAGATCGCGTGGTGGATCAACGCGCAGAAGGACGAAGGCCGCCGCCCGCAGCACATCCAGCCCGAACCGAACGACGCGTGGCTGGAAACCATGCGCCAGGCATATATCGAGTACCAGGCACGCTGCGACCGCGCCGGCCTGGTCGACTTCGCCGAGCTGCTGCTGCGCGCGCATGAGCTGCTGCGCGACAACCCGGCGTTGCTGTCGCATTACCGTGCCCGCTTCCGCGAGATCCTGGTGGACGAGTTCCAGGACACCAACGCCATCCAGTACGCCTTCGTGCGCGTGCTGGCCGGTGATTCCGGCCACGTGTTCGTGGTCGGTGACGACGACCAGGCCATCTATGGCTGGCGCGGTGCCAAGGTGGAGAACGTGCAGGGCTTCCTGCGTGACTTCCCGGGCGCGCAGACCATCCGCCTGGAACAGAACTACCGCTCCACCGCCAACATCCTCGGCGCCGCCAACGCGGTGATCGCGCACAACCCGGACCGCATCGGCAAGCAGCTGTGGACCGACAGCGGCGACGGCGAGCCGATCGACCTGTATGCCGCGTACAACGAGATGGACGAAGCGCGCTATATCGTCGAGCGCGCGCGCCAGTGGGTGCGCGACGGTGGCAGCTATACCGAAGTGGCCGTGCTCTACCGCAGCAACGCGCAATCGCGCGCGCTGGAAGAAGCGCTGCTGAGCGAACAGGTGCCGTACCGCGTGTACGGCGGCATGCGCTTCTTCGAGCGTGCCGAAATCAAGGACGCATTGGCCTACCTGCGCCTGCTGTCCAACCGCAACGATGACGCGGCGTTCGAGCGCGCGGTCAACACGCCCACCCGTGGCATCGGCGACCGCACGCTGGACGAAGTGCGCCGCGAGGCGCGCGCGCAGGGTATCTCGCTGTGGGAAGCGACCATGCTGGTCACCCAGGGCAGCGCGCTGGCCGCACGTGCGCGCAATGCGCTGGCCGGCTTCCTGGTGCTGGTCAACGAGCTACAGGCGCAGACCCTGCACATGACCCTGGCCGAGCGCGTGGACCACGTGCTGGCCCGCTCGCAGCTGCGCGAGCACTGGAGCAAGGAAAGCCGCAACGCGCTGGATTCGGAATCGCGCACCGACAACCTCGACGAACTGGTCTCGGTGGCCTCGCGCTTCGTGCGCCGCGCCGACGACATCGAGGAAGTGGCGAGGACATGGACGAGCTGGTCGCGTTCCTGGCCTATGCCGCGCTGGAGGCCGGTGAGGGCCAGGCGCAGGCGGGCGAGGACGGCGTGCAGCTGATGACCCTGCACTCGGCCAAGGGCCTGGAATTCCCGCTGGTGTTCCTGGCCGGCCTGGAAGAAGGCCTGTTCCCCAGTGCACGCTCGCTGGAGGAAAGCGGTCGGCTGGAAGAAGAGCGCCGCCTGGCCTACGTGGGCATCACCCGTGCGCGCCAGAAGCTGGTGCTGAGCTACGCCGAATCGCGCCGCATCCACGGCCAGGACAACTACAGCCTGCCGTCGCGCTTCCTGCGCGAGATCCCACGCGAGCTGCTGCACGAAGTCCGCCCGAAGGTGCAGGTCTCGCGGCCGGCCTCGCTGGGCAGCAGCCGGGTGATGGGCCATGCTTCGATCGAGGCACCGCCGCTCAAGCTCGGCGCACTGGTCACCCATCCCAAGTTCGGCGAAGGCATGGTGACCGACTACGAAGGCAGCGGCGCACACGCCCGCGTTCAGGTCGAATTCGCCGACGCCGGCAGCAAGTGGCTGGTGATGGCGTATGCCAACCTGACGGTGATCTGATCACCGTCAGGGGGCGGGAAGCCTGTAGAGCCGAGCCATGCTCGGCTGCTTCTGGCGGGAAGGCAGTCGAGCAAGCTATGCCGGTCGTCCTGACCGGCACCCTTCGGGCCGTCGCAAGCGACGTTGGCAGCGGCTCCTGCCGCTACCTTGGACTCTACAATGGGGCCTGACACCTTCCAGGAGCGCCCCCATGACAGAACCCACGCTGCACGTCACCGTGAAGTTGAACGCCCGGCTGCAGCCGGAGCACCGCCATGAACTGTTCGAGGATCCGCTCGATGCGCTGCTGCAGGCGGCCCAGGTGGGCGAGCTGACCGGCGGCGGGACCGCGATGTCCGACCTGGGCGAGGTCGAGTACGGCGATATCGAAGTGGCGCTGATCGATGCGAGCGGCGTGCCGAAGCTGATCGATCTGCTGGAGCAGCTGGGTGCACCGAAGGGTTCGCAGCTGCAGGGCGCAGGCGAGGCCGACCGCAGCTTCGGCGTGACCGAAGGCCTGGGCATCTACCTGGACGGCCTCACCCTGCCGGACGAAGTCTACGAGCAGTGCGATTCCAACCACGTGTTCGAACAGCTGTCGGAGAACATCGACGGCCTCGGCGAGATCTGCAGCTGGTGGCAGGGCCCGACCGAGACCGCGCTGTACATGTATGGCGAATCGTTCGAGGCGATGCGTGATGCGATCGCTGACTTCGTGGCCAGCTACCCGCTGTGCCAGAACGCACGCGTGGTGCAGATCGCCTGAACAAAGCAACGGTAGAGTCGAGCTTGCTCGACTGCTTCTACCCGCAAAGAAAGCAGTCGAGCAAGCTCGACTCTACGGCAGCAGGTTACCGGCCGGCCGCCTGCCGCGCATTGTCGCGCAGCGCCATGTCCTTGCCGATCTGGTAGCCGCCGAACAGCACCGCCAAGGAGCAGTGGTATCAACGCAGAGTACTGTCTGGGAACTCCAGGCGGGCGGTTTGTTGTCCTGCATGTCGGTCGGCCTTGAGCGCGGCAGTGCGCCGCCCGCCGAGCATGCGCCGCACTGACCGGCGCACGCAAGCGGGCGATGCGCACCACGCCGCTGCGCGGCGCCGGATTGATCCTGCTCAAGGCGCGGCCTGCACATCCGGTGTGCAATGGTGTCGTTCCCATCTGGCAGATCGCTACGGAGCCCCACCATGTACAAGCGCATCCTGATTGCCACCGACGGGTCCGAGCTGGCCGACAAGGGCCTGGCCAAGGGCCTGGAGCTGGCCAAGGACCTCAATGCCGAGGTCGATATCGTGACCGTTTCCGAGCCGTGGGCCGTCGGCATGTACGACGCCATGGGCTGGAGCGTGGGCTACATGAACAGCCCCGAGTACAAGGCCGACCGCGAGGAAGGCGCACAGAAGGTGCTGCAGCCGGCGCTGGCCAAGGCGGCCGAGCAGGGCATCACCGCCAACCCGGTGCACGTATTGGACCGCTACGCGGCCGACGGCATCCATCGAGACGGCGGGTGAGCGCAACAGCGACCTGATCGTGATGACCTCGCATGGCCGCCGTGGCGTCACCCGCGTGCTGCTGGGCAGCCAGACCGCCGAAGTGCTGGCACGCAGCACGCTGCCGGTGCTGGTCATCCGCTGATCCACACCCGCTGATTCACGCGTTCCCGGGGAGGGGACCCGACGCCGGCCGCAGGATGCGCGCCGGCGTCATCTTTTGTGGGCCCTGAGTGGCGCACGAGCATTCAGATCGATCCATGTGGCGTCGGCATCGGCGCTGCTGGGGCGTGTCCGACGAACGGTTACGAACGGCACGCGTCGCCGTTCATTCTTTGTGGCATCCTCCGCGCGGGGTTGTTGAGGTGCATGCATGTCTGGGCCGTGGGCGGATCGCCTGCTGGCTGCCAGCGCGTTCTGCTGCGCCTGTCTTTTTCACGCACTCCGCCCGGGGACTGGCGGAGCGTTGTCCGTTGCCTTGGACATCTGCCGTCATTGGAGGACATCTTGATGCCGTTGAAGCGTTCGTCGTTCGCACTGCTGCTGTCTGCAGCATTGCCTGTCGCGGCGGCGGCCCCCCCCGGCCGACATTCCAGCGAGCGGACACCCGGTTGCCCGACATGGCCGCGCGTACCGGCAGCCAGACCCTGCAGGTGCGTGGTTTCCGAGCGACGTCGGTGAGCATCCACAACGAGGCATCACGCCCGCCCACGTCCAGGCCGTGCTGGACGCGTACTTTGCACACCTGGCGCAGGGTGCCGACGTGGCGGTGCTGGACTTCGCCCAGCTGCAGGGGGCGGCGGATGCGGTGACGGCGGCCTATCGCAAGGCGGGTTTCCTGGTCAGCGTCGCCTACCTGCCGCCGCAGAAGCTCGATGCCGAGGGCCGCATCGAAGTGCGCGTGCTGGAAGGGCGCATCGGCAAGGTGGTGGTGCAGGGCAACCAGCGTTACCGCAGCCATACGCTCAGCAACGTGGCCGAACGCCTGCGTGGGCAGCCGTTGCGCCAGGCCGACATCGACAGCGCGTTGCTGTACGCGCGTGACCTGCCGGGGGTTTCCGTTTCCTCGGTGCTGCAACCCGGCGAGAACGTCGGTGAAACCGACCTGGTGCTGGTCGCGCGTGAAAGCGGCCGGCCCTACGAGATCAGCACCAGCGTGGACAACCATGGCACCGAGTTGACCGGGCGCGGCCGTGCCCAGCTGGGGGTGACCTGGAACAGTCCACTGGGCCTGGGCGATGTGTTCGCCGCCAGTGGCACGTATGCATTCGATCCACAGGCCAGCCGTGCCGGCGCACTGTCCTACAGCGTGCCATTGCAGGCGGTACAGGGTCTGTCGGTGCTGGCCGGTGCCAACCGCAGCGAGCTGGAGGTGGACGACGGCATCCTGCGCGGCTTCAAGCTCAAGGGACCGGCGTCGCAGGCCTATGCAGGTGCCGACTGGAAGTTCATCAACCGGCCCGATCTGCAGGTGACCAGCTCGGCGCGCTACATCCGCGAAAGCTCGCGCTTTGAAGCGCTGGGGCTGGTTCTTTCCAAGCAGAAATACGATGTGGCCGAGGTGGGGGCCAGCGTGCGCCACAACGATGCACGCTGGCATGGCATCAACCTGGCGCAGTTGAGCTTACGCCAGTCGCTGCGCGATCGCTCGGCTGACTTCGATGCGATCAACCCGACACGTGACAGCCGGTTCAACGTGGTGCGCCTGGGCCTGCTGCGGCTGCAGTACCTCAGCCGCAGCCAACGCCTGCTGTTCAAGTTCAATGGCCAGTACAGCAACAACTCGTTGCCGGCACTGGAGCAGTTCCAGGTCGGTGGCAACGACAGCGTGCGGGGATACGCGCAGGGCGAGACCCTGGGCGATCGTGGCTGGTACGGGGCGCTGGAGTACCACGTCGACGCGCCGGGCTTCGGCGATGTGGCCTCGCCGTTCCGCGGCGTGCCATGGCGCGAAGTGCTGGAGCTGGATGTGTTCGCCGACCAGGCACGGGTGTTCGATGTTGATGGGCTGGAGGCACCGGCCGACCTGGCATCGGTGGGAATGGGCGCGACCTTCCGCCTGCGCCAGTGGAAGAACCTGGAACTGCGCGTGGCGGCGGCCAAGCCGACCAGCGCCCTGCGACCGGGTGACGGCCGCGATGTCCGCGTGTATGCGCGGCTTGGCCTGACCTTCTGAGGAGCGACCATGAACCGTATCTACCGACTCGTCTTCAATCCTTCGCTGGGCCAGGTGCAGGTCGCTGCGGAGTTCGCGCGCGGGCCACGTCGCTGCGTCCCGGAGCGATCACGCACTCCCCTTTGGCTGGCACCGTTGACCGCGGCGCTGCTGCTGACCGGCAGCCTGCAGGCCACGGCGCAGACCCTGCCACAGAACGGCACCATTACGTCGGGCTCGGGAATCATCAACGTCAATGGCAACACCATGACGATCACCCAGCAGAGCCAGGCTGCGTTGTTCCAGTGGAGCAGCTTCAGCATCGGCTCCGGCAACACGGTCAGATTCGATCAGGCAGGCTCGAGGTCGACGGCGATCAATCTGGTGACCGGCCCGTCCGCCAGCATCATCAGTGGCCAGCTGCTGTCCAACGGGCAGGTATTCCTGCTCAATCCGGCGGGCATCACCTTCACCGGCACTGCCAGCGTCAACGTGGGCGGGTTGCTGGCCAGCACCCTGACGCCCGGCGCACAGGGGATTCCGCTGGATAGTGGTGGGTTGCCGCCCAGTTTTGAACTGGGCGGCGCAGGGGCCGGTGCCGCGGTCAGCAACCTGGGAGGTACGCTGACGGCGACGGCCGGCGGGATCAGCCTGGTCGGCGGTTCGGTGTTCAACAACGGTTACATCGCCGCACCGCTGGGCAACATCGATCTGGTGGCGGCCGGTGCCGTGACCGCGGTGACCGGTGTGTCATCGGCCGGCATGCCAAGCCTGGCGTTCGTCACCACCGCAGCGAGTGGCATCGCAGGAACCGGCATCAGCAACGTCGGCACCCTCAGTGCACGCAACATCAGCATGACGGCATTGATGGGACCGGGTCTGTCCGCTACCGGCATCAACGCGGGCGGCACGATCATCGCCAACGCCATCGATGCCAGCGACGGCAGCCTGACCATCCGCAGTTCTGCACCGGTGGCGATCAACAACGCCATCGTTACGGCCACGGCGATGTCCACGGTGGGATCGGCTGTCATGGGGGGGCCGGTCGCCGTCCAGATGACCGGCGGCAGCATCGACGCCAGGACCGTGAACTTAAATGGCGGCATCAACGGCGACGTGGTGCTGTCAGGCTCGATCAAGGCAGACTCGATCGGAATCGACGCGAACAACATCACCCAGACCGCGGGTTCGCTGGAGGGCGCGCTGCAACTGGATACGCAGGGCCGAGTGACCCTGGGACAGGCGAGCAATGCCATCAGCCGCGTTGGTGGCCATGTCGGTACCGACCTGACCCTGGCCACCTCGACCAGCCTGGCGAACAGCGGGGCGCTGTCGGTAGGTGGCAATACCACGCTCGACGCAGCTGCGGGCAATATCACCCTGACCCATGCCGGCAACAGTTTCGGCAACCGGGGTCAGCGCGAAAGGAGCCGATGTCAGTCTGGTCGGCATCGGTGCACTGAACCTGGGCGATATCGACGCGCGCAGCCTGGATGCGCAGGGCGGCAGCCTTGGCCTGAGCGGTACGATCACCACGTCCGGTAACCAGGCCTACCGGTCCGCGGTGACACTGCAGGGCAACGCGACGCTGCAGGGTGGGACGATCCTGTTCGACGGCACCGTTGATGGCAGCTACCAGCTGGGCGTCGACGCCAGCGGAATGGCCACGTTCTCCGGTGCCATTGGTGGCAGCACCGCATTGCAGGGCCTGAATGTCAGCACGGGCAACGGTGCGCGCCTGTTCGGCGATGTCAGCACGCTGGGCACGCTCGGGTTCTCTGCCCGGTGCGCAGTGTACGGTGAGCGCAGCCTGACCTCGCTCATCGGGAGCCTCACACTCGGCGGAACGGTCGACGGTGACGGTGGCGGTCTGAATCTGAGTGCACGCCAGCTCACGATCGGCGGCGAGGTGGGAGGAGCCGGGGTGGTGGGTCGCCTGCACGGTCGCGCCGATACCATCGTGCTGGGCAGCCGCCTCACCAGCACCGGCGATATCCTGCTGCAGGGCAACGTGGTGCTGGACGGCAACACGCAGCTGATCAGCACTGGCGGCGGCGCCCTCACCACCGACGGCATCTCCAGCAACACCGCCGGTGGTTACAACCTGGCACTGACTACTGGCGGCCAGATCCAGGTCAACGGCAACATCAATGCCGCCGATGTCAGCATCACCGGGCTTCTGTTCAACGGTCGAGGCATCGTCAGCAAGCGCAACCTCAGCATCGACTCCGCGATCAGCCTGGTCCAGGCCGGCAGCTACCAGGTCGATGGCCGGGCCTGGTTCCGGAGTGCGGGGAACATCAATCTGATCGATGCAGGCAATCGCTTCGGTGGCGAGGTCGCCCTGGCGGGCAGAAGTGCCCAACTACGCGCGGGCGATCTGCTGTTGGGCAACAGCACGCTGACGGAGAACCTGCGGCTGGATCTCACCGGCGGGCTGCAGCAGGCCGCGGGCAGCATGCTGGACGTCGGCGGCACCACCCATATCGATGCCGGCGGCGCCGTCAACCTCGACAGGACCGACGGCATGGGCCGGCCGGTGAACCGGTTTGGCGACACGGTGTCACTGAAGGGCCGCGGCAGCTACATCTCTGCTGCCGGCACGCTGGCGTTCTCCGATTTCGATGTGGACAGCCTGATTGCGACGGCTGATGTCGTGCAGCTTCCCGCCAGCGGCAGGAGCATCGGCCTGCAGTACTTCCAGGGCGATGTGGCGCTGACCCGCGACAGCGTGCTGGACAGCCAGCTTGGCCAGATCAGTTTTCGGGGGCGCATCGATGGTGGATACGCACTGACGCTCACAAGCGGGCTCAACGTAGTGTTTGCCGGTGACGTGGGCGGCAATCAGGCGCTCGCCAGCCTCGACAGCCGTGGTGCGGGTCCGCTCCAGCTCGGCGGCAACATCACCGCCGACGGCGCGATCCGCCTGGGCAACGTCAACCTGGTGGCGAACACCCCCCGGGTGTTCAGCATCCGCAGCAACAACGGCAACCTGTTGGCCGGTCGTATCGACGGCAGCAGCGATGGCCGCAGCAGCCTGGCGCTCAATGCGCACGGCGCGCTTGAACTGCAGTCCGGTGCGGGTACCACGCCCGGCGCGGGGCTGGCCAATCTCGAACTCAAGGGGTCAAGCGTGATCGCGCAGGCGCTCCGCACCAGTGGCCGGCTTGACGTCAGCAGCGGCACCGGGTTCACCCAGGGCGGTACGCTCACCGTCGGTGGCGATGCCAGCTTCAGCGCCGGCAGCGGTGGCGACCTGATGCTGGATACAACGGCCAACACCTTTGCCGGTAAGGTCGCGTTGAGCGGCAACCAGGTGCGGATCCGCGCGCAGCCGGGCCTGGCACTGGATGGCGTGACGGCCGCCGCGCTGGATGCCAGCAGCACGGGCGCGCTGTCGTTGGCCAATGCCAATGTTGCGGGCGCTGCGATCGTTGACGGTACGTCCCTGCTGTTCGACCAGGTGAGCATCGGCGGCGCGCTGCTGGCTACCGCGAGTGCCGGCGACATCCGCCAGGGAAGTGGCAGCGTGGCGATCGGCAACAACAGCCAGCTGACCGCCAGCACCGATATCGGGCTGGGCGGAACCGGCAATCAACTGGGCAGCGCACTGCAGGTACAGGGCCGTGACATCACCCTGTCCAGCAGCACGGCCCTGGACCTGCAGAATCTTCAGGCCGCGCGTGACGTGCGGCTCAGCGGCAACGGTGTGCGGCTCGGTGCAACCTCGGTGCAGGGCGCATTGCAGGTCAACAGCGCCGCTGCGATCACCCAGTCCGACGCGCTGCAGGTGACGGGCAACAGCCGCTTCCAGGCGGGTTCGGACATCAGCCTGGACCAGGCCGGCAATCGTTTCGACGGCAGCGTCGCCCTGCAGGGCGGCAACATTGCCATCACCGCCCGTGACGGCCTGCTGCTCGACAGCGTGTCCGCCCGCGGCAACCTGGATGCGCGCGCGGGCCTGGGCGGTGTCTCCCAGCAGGCGGCGCTCGAAGTCGGCGGACGCAGCGACGTGCGCACGCAGGGCGCCATTGCACTGGACCGTGCCGACAACCGTTTCACGGGTGCGGTCGGGCTGGACGGCAACGGTGTCGATCTACGCGCAGCGGGCGATCTGCAGGTCGATCGCCTGAACAACGGCGGCCAGTCCGATGTGCGCCTGCACGCCGGGGGAGGCCTGCAGCTGCCGGCCATCGATGCCGGTGCCGGCAACCTGACCCTGCTCGCCGATGGCGGTGCGTTGCAGGCCAATGCGCTGCTGGCCGGCAACAACGTGAGCGTGGTCGGCCGCGATGGCGTGCGCCTGGGGGCCGATCTGCGCAGCAGCGGTTCGCTGACCCTGGCCAGCAGCAACGCGGACATCGTGCAGGTCGCCGTGCCCAATGGCGTGGGTGGCAGCGTGCAGTCGGTCGGCGCAGTGCAGGTTGATGCAGGCAGCGGGCGCATCGCGCTGGGCAATGCCGGCAACCGTTTCGGCGGCGCGCTCAACCTGTCCGGCGGTGACATCAACGTAACCGGCGATACGCTGCTGCTGGGCAATGTGGCCGCGAGCGGCCAGCTGTCGCTGGCCAGTGCCGGCGACATCCGCCAGCAGGGTGCTGCGCAGGCAGGAGGCACGACCCGGCTGAGCGCTGGCGGTGACATCGACCTGCAGGCCGGTGGCAACCGCTTCGGAGATGCGGTCACGGTGCAGGGCCGGCAGGTGGCACTGGCCAGCGATGGCCCGCTGCAGCTGCAGGGCGTGACGGCGGGCAGCCTGGTTGCACGCAGTGGTGACCGTTTGACCCTGGGCGCCGCCGACGTCACGGGCAATGTCACGCTCGATGGCGCCTCGCTGCTGCTGGAGGGAGCCAGCATCGGTGGTGCACTGGTGGCGACCGCACGCGCAGGTGCCATCAACCAGGGGAGTGGCAGCCTGGCGATCGGCAACAACAGCCAGCTGACCGCCGGCACCGATATCGTGCTGGGCGGAACCGGCAATCAACTGGGCAGTGCCTTGCAGGTGCAGGGCCGCGACATCACCCTGTCCAGCAACACGGCCCTGGACCTGCAGAACCTGCAGGCCACGCGTGACGTGCTGCTCAGCGGCAACGGCGTGCGGTTCGGTGCAACCTCGGTGCAGGGCGCATTGCAGGTCAACAGCGCCGCTGCGATCACCCAGTCCGACGCGCTGCAGGTGACGGGCAACAGCCGCTTCCAGGCCGGTTCGGACATCAGCCTTGACCAGGCCGGCAATCGCTTCGATGGCAGCGTCGCCCTGCAGGGCGGCAACATTGCCATCACCGCCCGTGACGGCCTGCTGCTCGACAGCGTGTCCGCCCGCGGCAACCTGGATGCGCGCGCGGGCCTGGGCGGTGTTTCCCAGCAGGCGGCGCTCGAAGTCGGCGGACGCAGCGACGTGCGCACGCAGGGCGCCATTGCACTGGACCGTGCCGACAACCGTTTCACGGGTGCGGTCGGGCTGGACGGCAACGGTGTCGATCTACGCACAGCGGGCGATCTGCAGGTCGACCGCCTCAACAACGGCGGCCCGTCCGATGTGCGCCTGCACGCCGGGGGAGGCCTGCAGCTGCCGGCCATCGATGCCGGCGCCGGCAACCTGACCCTGCTCGCCGATGGGGGTGTGGTGCAGGCCAATGCGCTGCTGGCCGGCAACAACGTGACCGTGGTCGGCCGCGATGGCGTGCGCCTGGGGGCCGATCTGCGCAGCAGCGGTTCGCTGAGCCTGGCCAGCAGCAACGCGGACATCGTGCAGGTCGCCGTGCCCAATGCAGTGGGTGGCAGCGTGCAGTCGGTCGGTGCGGTGCAGGTTGATGCAGGCAGCGGGCGCATCGCGCTGGGCAATGCCGGCAACCGTTTCGGCGGCGCGCTCAACCTGTCCGGCGGTGACATCAACGTAACCGGCGATACGCTGTTGCTGGGCAACGTGGCCGCGAGCGGCCAGCTGTCGCTGGCCAGCGCCGGCGACATCCGCCAGCAGGGTGCCGCGCAGGTGGGAGGCACGACCCGGCTGAGCGCTGGCGGTGACATCGACCTGCAGGCCGGTGGCAACCGCTTCGGCGATGCGGTCACGGTGGAGGGCCGGCAGGTGGCACTGGCCAGCGATGGCCCGCTGCAGCTGCAGGGCGTGACGGCGGACGGCCTGGCTGCACGCAGTGCAGGACACCTGACCCTGTCGACGGCCAATGTCGCCGGCGATGTGACCCTGCAGGGCCAGCAACTGCACTTCGGCACGACCCGCGTGGGCGGTAACCTGCAGGCGGTGGGCAGCAACGGCATCGATCAGGACGGCACGCTGCGCGTGGATGGCAGCGCCGACCTGCGCAGCAATGCATCGATTGCACTGGGATTGGCTGGCAACGATCTGCGCGGTGCGGTGTCGCTGGCGGGCGCGGGCATCGATCTGACCAGTGCGGGCGACCTGCGCATCGGTTCGCTCGACAGCCGCAGCGCAGCGGTTCGCCTGCAGGCCGGGGGCGCACTGGATCTGCCCAGCGGCACAATCGATACCGGCAACGGTGACCTGCAGCTGCAGGCCGGCGGCGCATTGCGGTTGCCGGCGGCGCTGCGCGGCAACAACATCACCCTGCGCAGCGGCCAGGACCTGCAGCTCGGCCAGGATGTACTGGCCGGGGGGGTATTGCAGCTCGCAAGTGGTGGCACGCTGACCCAGACCGGGGGTGTGCTGGCCGCACAACGCCTGCAGGGCAGTGCCGGCGGCAAGGCCAGCCTGCGCGGCGACAACCGTATCGCCACGCTCGGTGACTTCGGCAGCCAGGGCCTGGAGTTGAAAACCATGCAGGGGCTGCAGGTGACCGGCAACGTGCAGGCCGGCGCACAGGGCCTGCTCGACGTGCGCGGTGGTGATCTGCTGCTCGATGGCAGTGTGCAGGCGGGCGGGCTGCGGCTGCAGTCGTCCGGTGCGATCCGCGCCGGTGCCGGTGGCCGCCTGCTGGCTGACCAGCTCAGTGGACGCGCGGCCGGCCCGACGATGCTGGGCGATGCCTCACTGTTCGTGGCCAATGCCATCGGCACCCTCGGTGATTTCCAGTCGCCGGCAGGCTTCAGCCTGACCAACGCCGGTACCCTGACCCTCGCCTCGCTCAACGGCAGCGCATTCAGCGTCGATGCCGGCAACAACGGGTTCCACCTGAAGGTGCAGGGCGGTGACATCCGCCAGCTGGGTACCACGCCGGTGCTGGCCGGTGACAGCCATTGGTGGTCCAGCGGTGGCATCGGCACCCAGCCCCTGCCGATCTATCTGACCAGCGCCGGCAGAACGCACACGATCGATTTCATCGGACGCCCGCCGGCCTATTTCCATGCCGTGGGCACAGATGGCCGACCTCTCGTGGTGGGCGATGGACCTGATCCCGAAGCGATGCGTCCTGGAGTGCTCGCACAGGGCGCGGTGCTGCCGCGGGCTGTCTATGTCGATGCGGCGGCAGCAGCCGTTGAGCAGCGTGCGATCGGCATCACGTACCCTGGAATCCGGTTGCCTGCGGGGACGGCGCGGGCCTGCGACGGTGACGCGGCGGGTTGCGTGCAGTAACCCGTTGAACATGGGCGGAGTGCTGCCACTCCGCCCGGTTCGATGCCGGTCACATCACCAGCTGTACAGCTTCCAGTACACCGGCGACACGCCGTCCTTGTCGTTGTCGAAACGGCCGTCGCCGTTCTTGTCGTACATGTAGTACGGCGCGCCGCGCGACGGGGTCACCTTGACCATGCGCAGCTGGCCGGACACGCGGTATTCCTCGATGGTGTCACCGTTGTCCATGGTGCGCTTGGAGACATCGGCGCCCTTGACGTCCACCGGGGGAGCACCTGCGCCACCCATGCTGGCGCAGCCAGCGAGCAGGAGCACGGAAGCCAGCATCAGGGTCTTCATCGGCGGGGGCCTTTGCCTGGATAGAGCCCTGATTATGCCCCATCGCCGGGTGCGTGCCGTGTCGTCGCGGTGCAGGCACGGGCGCGTAGAATCGGCGCATGAGCAGATTAGTCCTGATCGACGGGTCCAGTTACCTGTACCGCGCGTTCCACGCGCTGCCGCCCCTGTCCAATGCACAGGGTGAACCCACCGGCGCGCTGTTCGGCGTGGTCAACATGCTGCGCTCGACGCTGAAGGAACGCCCGGCCTACGTTGCGTTCGTGGTCGATGCGCCCGGCAAGACCTTCCGTGACGACCTGTACGACCAGTACAAGGCCAACCGGCCGCCGATGCCCGACGAGCTGCGCAGCCAGGTCGAGCCGATGTGCCGCATCGTCGAGGCGCTGGGCATCAGCATCCTGCGCATCCCCGGCGTGGAAGCCGATGATGTGATCGGCACGCTGGCCCTGCAGGGCCTGGCGCAGGACCTGAAGGTGACCATTTCCACCGGCGACAAGGACTTCGCCCAGCTGGTGCGTCCGGGCATCGAGCTGGTCAATACCATGACCGGCAGCCGCATGGATTCGGACGCGGCAGTGATGGACAAGTTCGGCGTGCGTGCTGACCAGATCATCGACCTGCTGGCGCTGATGGGTGACACCGTCGACAACGTGCCGGGCGTGGAGAAGTGCGGGCCGAAGACCGCTGCCAAGTGGCTGGCCGAGTACCAGCACCTGGACGGGGTGATGGCGGCAGCGCCGACCATGAAGGGCAAGATCGGCGAGAACCTGCGCGCCGCACTGGAGCGGCTGCCGCTGAACCGCGAGCTGGTGACCATCCGCACCGATGTGGCACTGGACGCCAGCCCGACCACGCTGGCCCTGCGCGAGCAGGACGTGCCGGAGCTGACCGAGCTGTATACGCGCTACGGCTTCACCCAGGCGCTGAAGGAACTGGGAGCACCGCTGCCGGCGCCCACCGCTGCCAGTGAGGCCACCCCGAGCCTGCGCGGTACCGCCGCCGGCTTCGCCCGTGGTAGCGCCGAAGTGCCGGCTGCCGGTACGCTGGACCCGGCGCTGGCCGCGCCCGGTGAATACGAGACGGTGCTGACCACCGAACAGCTGCAGGCCTGGGTCGAGCGCCTGCAGCAGGCCGACCTGATCAGTTTCGATACCGAGACCGATGCGCTGGACGCGATGCGTGCGCGCCTGGTCGGCGTCAGCCTGGCCGTCGAGCCGGGCAGGGCCGCCTACATTCCGGTCGGCCACGACTACCCGGGTGCGCCGGCGCAGCTGCCGATGCAGCAGGTGCTGGACGCGCTGCGCCCGGTGCTTCAGGACCCGGCGAAGAAGAAGCTGGGCCAGCACGGCAAGTACGACCTGCATGTGCTGCGCCGCCACGGCGTGGACATTCAGGGCTACCACGACGACACCATGCTCGAGAGCTTCGTGCTCAATTCCACCGCCACCCGCCACGACATGGACTCGCTGGCCCTGCGCTACCTGGGCTACAGCACCATCAAGTTCGAGGACGTGGCCGGCAAGGGCGCCAAGCAGATTCCGTTCTCGCAGGTGGGCATCGACGAAGCCAGCCGCTACGCGGCCGAGGACGCGGACATCACCCTGCGCCTGCACCACGCGCTGCAGCCGCAGCTGTTGGCCGAGCCGGCGCTGGACAGCGTATACCGCGACATCGAGATGCCGCTGGTGCCGGTACTGACCACGATCGAAGCCAATGGCGTGCGGATCGACACCGACGAACTGCGCCGGCAGAGCCAGGACCTGTCCTCGCGCATGCTGGCCGCGCAGCAGAAGGCCACCGAGCTGGCCGGGCGCAGCTTCAACCTGGATTCGCCCAAGCAGTTGCAGGCGGTGCTGTTCGATGAGCTGAAGCTGCCGGCGGTGGTGAAGACCCCCAAGGGCCAGCCCAGCACCAATGAAGAGGCGCTGGAGGCGATTGCCGAGCAGCACGAGCTGCCGCGGGTGATCCTGGAGTACCGCGGCCTGGCCAAGCTGCGCAGCACCTACACCGACAAGCTGCCGGAGATGGTCAACCCGGACACCGGCCGCGTGCACACCAGCTACCACCAGTCCGGTGCCGCCACCGGCCGCCTGTCCTCATCGGACCCGAACCTGCAGAACATCCCGATCCGCACCGAGGACGGCCGCCGCATCCGCCGCGCGTTCGTGGCGCCGGAGGGCTGCCAGCTGCTGGCGGCCGACTATTCGCAGATCGAGCTGCGGATCATGGCCCACCTGTCCGAGGACCCGGGCCTGGTGCGCGCCTTCGAACAGGGCGCCGACGTGCACCGTGCCACCGCTGCCGAGGTGTTCGGGCGCACGCTGGAGGAGGTGACCCCGAACGAGCGCCGTGCCGCCAAGGCCATCAACTTCGGCCTGATGTACGGCATGAGCGCGTTCGGCCTGGCCCGCAACCTGGGCATCGACCGTGGCCAGGCGCAGGACTACGTGGCGCTGTACTTCAGCCGCTACCCGGGCGTGCGCGACTTCATGGAGCGGATGCGCCAGCAGGCCCGCGACCAGGGCTACGTGGAAACCCTGTTCGGCCGCCGCCTGTACCTGAACGACATTCATGCCCGCAACCAGGGCCTGCGCGCGGGGGCTGAACGCGCGGCGATCAACGCGCCGATGCAGGGCACCGCCGCCGACATCATCAAGCGCGCGATGGTGGACGTGGACCAGTGGCTGCGTGACAGCGGCGCACCGGCACGGATGATCCTGCAGGTGCACGATGAACTGGTGTTCGAAACCGAAAGCAGTTTCGTTGAAGACTTGCGTTTGCAGGTGGTGGAACGCATGTCGCAAGCGGCCAAACTGCGGGTGCCGCTGGTGGTCGATACCGGTATCGGCAGCAACTGGGACGAGGCGCACTGACGGCGTTTCAGGCCGAAAACGACGTGAATTTGTTCATCAGTCGGGGGTTTCTGACTCGATCATGAATGTTCCCCCGATTGAAGTTCATTAAATTGGGCCCCTTCACGAACCGTTAGTGTTCGGAGTGCTTCTATAACTCTCGACAGGCGCAATGCCTGTTGTGGATCTCTCCCATCCCCTGGAGCAGATCTCGGAACGGGGACTCCTCCCCAAGTGCCCGTTCCCCGGCCCCGTTGACCTCCCCCTGGTCAGCGGGGCTTTTTATTTGTGCCGTTGCCAGATTCCCTGGTCTGCGCCACGCTGGGCCACCGCTCCGCAGGGGAAAACGATGCCCGATCTGTTCGCACTGGCGATGCCGTGGTGGGAGTTCATCCTGCGCGCGGTGGTGGTCTACGTCGTGGTGCTGGGCATGGTCCGGCTCAGCGGCAAGCGCCCGCTGGGGCAGATCACCCCGTTCGACGTGCTGCTGGTGGTGCTGCTGGGCAATGCGGTGCAGAACGCCCTGCTGGGCACCGACACCTCGCTGGGCGGCGGCCTGCTGCTGGCGGCGACCCTGATCCTGCTCAACTACGGGGTGGGCTGGGTGAGTACCCGCAGCCGGCGGATCGAGCGCCTGGTAGAGGGAGAGCCGGTGGTGATCGCGCGCGATGGGCGCCTGTTCGACACCGTTCTGCGTCGCGAACAGGTCACCCGCGCCGATTTCGAGGCCGCCATGCGCCAGCAGGGCTGCCTGGGCGTGGAGGATGTCGAACTGGCCCTGCTGGAGATCAACGGGCACATCACCATCATCCCCAGGAAGAGCACCTGACCTGGTAGCGCCGTGCCTGGGCCCGGCTGCACGGTGCATCAGCCGGGCGGGGGACCGCAGCCCCGGTCAAGGCATGCAGCGGTCGTTGCCCGCCGCAGGCTTGCGCTCGTAGTAGGCGAATCGGTTGCCACCGTCGATACCGGCCAGGTTGCCGTTCTGCAGCAGCTGCAGCACGAAGTCGCTGCCGAGTTCGCGATGGATGAGGATGCGGCCGTCGCGCAGGCTGGCGCGCAGTGGCTGCTCGCGGCCACCGGCTTCGACCACGCCGCCCTGCAGGAAGCGCAGCTGCGACAGCACGCTGCGTTCGGCTTCAAAACTGCCGCAGGGCAGCGCGCTGGCCGTGACCGGTGCCAGCGCCGTGCCGGGAGCGCTGGCCAGCACGCCGAGATCCTTGGCCGGCCCGCAGGCCGGGGCATCCGCGCGCTGCGCACACGACAGCTGCAGCGCCTCGCGGGCCTGCTGCAGGCGGCCACTGCTCCACAAGGTCTCGGCGGTGTCGGCGCAGAACGTTTCGCCCTGCTGCACGCGGCACAGGGCGATCAGTTCATCCAGCTGTGCCGGCGGCAGCGGCGCATCCACCGAATGCTGCAGGCCGAGCAGGGCCTTGCCCATCATTTCCGAGGCGACCTGCCTGGCCACCGTCGTGCAGCCCTCGGCATCGAACGACGGTGACTCCTCCTTGCAGATCTCGGGCATCGGCGGCTCCGCTGTGCTCGGCGAAGCGTCCTTGGCCTGCTGCTGGTAGGTTTCCAGCAGGCGCATGCAGGCGGCGCCCACGCCCTCGGCGCACCAGGCATGCAGCTTCTGCGGCTCGGCTTCCGGCAAGGCCTCCAGGCACTCGGAAGTGTTCATCACGCAGCCGTCTTCGATGGGCTCTGGCATCACCTTGCATGCGGCGGAGCGCTCACGGGTGAACTCGCGGTACGGGGTGCTAAGGGTGCGGTCGTTGTCGGAGAAGTACCAGTTCTCCAGGCGGCCCGTGGACAGGTTGCCGGTGCCGAGCACGTCGTCCTGGCGGGCGATGCGCAGTTCCTCGGTGGCCTGGTAGGGGCCGGACAGGAAGCCGTGGCCCTCGCTTTCGAGGGTCAGCGTGGTGTTGCCGCTGCTGTCCTTGTAGGTGCCGCAAGCCATCGATTGCGCGGCGGCCGGCAGGCTGGCCGAGGCCAGCACGAGCAGCAGCAGGGAGCGCCAACCCGCAGCGCGGGGGCGGAGGGCAACAACAGCAGGCATGACATCATCCTTGAAGAAGAAAGAACACGACCTGTCCGGTGCAGGACGCACCGCAGGCAGGGGAAAGCACCACGCCCCAGGCGTGGTGCCGGAAGCTCAGAGCCAGTCGCGCGGCACCAGGTAATCAGCCAGGCGTGCCTCGGCACTGCCGGCGTCCGGGTTGAAGCCGTATTCCCAGCGCACCCGCGGCGGCAGGCTCATCAGGATGCTTTCGCTGCGGCCACCGCTCTGCAGGCCGAACAGCGTACCGCGGTCGTAGACCAGGTTGAATTCCACGTAGCGGCCACGGCGGTACAGCTGGAACTCGCGTTCGCGCTCGCCATGGGGCGTGTCCTTGCGCTGCTGCACGATCGGCAGGTACGCATCCAGGAAGCCATCGCCGACCGCGCGCAGATAGTCGAAATCGCGCTCGAAATCGCCATGCAGGTCATCGAAGAACAGGCCGCCGACGCCGCGTGTTTCGTTGCGGTGGCGCAGGAAGAAGTACTCATCGCACCAACGCTTGTGCGCGGCGTAGCGTTCCTCGCCGAAGGGTGTGCACAGATCGCGTGCGACCCGGTGCCAGTGCTGCACGTCCTCGTCGAACGGATAGAAGGGGGTCAGGTCGAAGCCGCCGCCGAACCAGCTGGCCACCACTTCGCCGTCGCGCTGCGCCTGGAAAAAGCGCACGTTGGCGTGGGTGGTCGGCACGTAGGGATTGAGCGGGTGGAACACCAGCGACACGCCGGTGGCGCGCCACGAGGCGCCGGCCAGTTCCGGGCGGTTGGCCGAGGCCGACGGCGGCAGGCGGCTGCCAGCCACGTCGGAGAAGCCGATGCCGGCCTGTTCGAACACCGCACCGTCGCGCAGCACGCGGGTACGCCCGCCGCCGCCCTCGGCCCGCTGCCACAGGTCTTCCTGGAAGCGGGCCTGGCCATCGGCGGCCTCGATCGCCGCGCAGATGCGGTCCTGCAGGTCGGTGAGGTAGGCGCGCACGCGCTCGAATTCGTTCATGGCGCGTACTTTACCGCAGGGCCCGCCCGAAGCTGCGGACAGGCCCTGGCGGGCTCAGCGCTTGCGGTTGGAATTGCGCGGCGCCGGAGCGTCGTCCACGGCCGCCTCGTCAACCGCCTTCTGCAGGGCACCACCCAGCGTGATCAGCTCCCAGTTCTGGGTGCCGAGTACGTCGCAGGCCACATGCAGGCCGCTGCGGTCGGCCTTGCACAGCTGCTCCAGGGTTGCCCGTGCGTCCACATCCGCACCGTTGCCCTGAGCGGTGACCAGGTTCTCGCAGCCCTCGCGGACGCCAGCGCGGCAGACCGTGGTGTAGTGCTCGGCGGCCTGCAACCAGTTCCCGGACAGCGCAAGGCGGTTGCCGAGAATGTTGCAGCCCTGCAGCTTGCCCTGTGCGCAGCAGGCTTCGGCCCCGTCCTCGTTGGCCAAAGCCAGCGGGCAATCCTGTGGCAGTGGCAGCACCTTGAACTGCTTCGGTGCACTGCAGCGGCTCGAGCCCTCGCCAGTGGGGACGAACACCTGGAAGCGGGTCCAGGTGTCCAGGCCCAGCAGTTGGCCGCCAGGCAGCGGGCGCAGCACGAAGTCGCCGCCCCGGTCGTGGCGGATGCGGATGTCGCCCTCTTCGACGCGTGCGCGAAGATGGCTGCTCCAGCCCACGCCAACCAGGCCGGCATCGCCGAAGTCCAGCGTGTCCATCAGGCCGCCGTCGGCCCGGTAGCTGCCGCAGGGCAAGGCCGTTGCCGGTTGCGGCTGCAACGATGCGCCCACCGCCTGCAACGCCGGCAGGCGCTCGCAGGTGGTGGTGTCATTGCCGGGTATGCAGGCCGCAGCCAGGGCCTGTACCGCCTGCTGGGGATCTCCCGCCTCCCAGGACAGTTCAGCCACCCGGGTGCAGAAGCCGCCATGCGGTACCTCGCGGCACAGCCGCAACAACTGTTGCCGCCGCTCAGTCGGAATGATCACCGGCACGGTCGGCGCCGTCATCGTCACCATCGCTTCGGTCATGGCGGCCGTCATCGCGGCCTTGACCAGCTGCTCCTGCACTGCGGGGTCGGCCTCGAGCGCGGCGGCACACGCCGGGGTTCCCTGTTCGAAGCCACCATCGTCACAGGCGACGGGGAGCTTGATGCCGGACAAGGCGGCGTCGAGGGCTGCCTTTGCCAGGGCAGGATCGGCCTCGACCGTGGGTTTGGCTTCATCGTGCCAACGATCGGCCAGTTGCAGGCACATGCCGGGCACGCCTTCCCGGCATCCTGCTTCCAGCGCGGCTGGATTCGCTTCGCGACGATTGTCCAGGCACGCCGCGGCATCGGCAAGGCAACTGCCTTCAGCCGGCGTGGCGGCCGCGGTGCACTGCGCGGGGGCCTGCAGGATGTAGACCGTGCCATCCACCTCGACCGTGCGGCCACGATCGCGCACCTGCAGCGCGCTGGGCAGGCCGTACTCCAGATTCACCAGTTGCAGCTTTCCATCGATCTGCTGGAACGCGACCGGAGACGGTGCACTGCCGAAGTGCTTCTGCTCGCCACGGTTGGGTGAGCTGATGCGCAGCGTGCTGCTGCCTTCATCGGCCTTGAACAGGCCGCATTGCAGTGACTGCGCGGCGGCCATCGGCGCGGCCAGCAGCAACGCCCAGGCCAGCCAGCGGCGGCGCGGTGCGGGTGAATGCATGTCGTCTCCTTGACGATCGAACGGAAAACTCCAGGCGCTACGGCGAACCACGGCCCTCGCGCGGGGGCGTGCATTGTGCCGTTCCGGGCACGGGTTGGTAACGCTGGTAGGCCGTCTGCACATCCATGCCAAGCAGGTCGCCATTGCCGAGCTGGCGCAGCGTCAGGGTTTCGCCGTTCTGCTGCAGCTGGACGGCGCCTTCGTGCAGGCGGGCCTGCGTGCCATCGCCGAAGTCGAGCATGTCGATCACGCCACCGTCGGCCTGGTAGCGGCCACACGGCACCCGCTGCAGCGGCACCAGGCGCAGATCGGTACCGAGTTCACGCAGCGGCGCGGTACGTTCGCAGGCACTGACGCGGCCGCCATCGCAGGTGACCTGCAGGGCCTGCACTGCCAATGCGGGCTCCAGCGCGATCAGCTGCTGCGCGGCCACCTCGACGCAGAAGCGGCCACCCCGGTGCTGCAGGCACAACTGCTGCAGGCGATCGCGCGCAGCGGCCGGAAGCGGCGAATCCAGCGTGTCTTCGTCTTCCTGTGCCAGCCGTTGATCCACCCGCCGCATGGCGGTGGCCAGTGCATCGTCGGTCATGGCTTCGCAGGCCTGCCGATCGTGCCCGGCGGTGTGTTCGCGGCACGGCGGCGGGCGCTCGAAGACGGCCGGGCCGGCGTCATCGGCAGCATCCGCCGCACTGCCCTCACGCATCAGCCGCAGCAGCGTCGAGCAGCCCGCACCCACGCCCTCGTCGCAGGCGCGCCGGGCCTGGCCGGGCGAGGCCGTTGGCAGCTGCACCATGCAGTAGCTGCCAGCAGCGTGGCAGCTGCCGGCCACCGCGCTGGGTTCGGCGGTGCAGGCCCGGGGCTGGCGCAGGGTGTAGACCACCGTCACGCTGTCCTCGATGCGCTGCCCATCGGCGCTGATCCGGACCGGCTCCGCCACCCCATCATCGAGCATGACCAGGCGGGTCTGTGCCGCACTGCGATCGACCCACAGCGGCTCCGGCTCACCGATGCCGTTGTGGCGGTAACCGTTGCTGGGGCTGGTGAACACCAGTGCCATGCCGTCATCGAGGCTGCGATACTCGCCGCAGCGCAGGGCATCGGCGCTGGCAGGCAGCGCGGCGAACAGCAGCAGGGCAGGGAAAAGAGCCAGCAAGCGCATGCGACGGTCCTTGTCGTGCGAGAAGGGGGTGGGGCTCAGTGGAAGCGCGAGCGGATATCGGGCCGCAACAGGCGCCAGGCCAGCCAACCCTGCAGGCCCAGGAACAGCACTGAAGTGCCGAGCAGGGTGAAGGTCATCATCCAGCGACGCGGCTGCAGCGACTGCTGCATCTCCGGCCCGTCGGCGAGCAGCACGATCATGTCGCGCATGAACACGTCCCACCACCAGGTGATCGCGAAATTGGCCAGTGCGCTCAGCAGCAGCATCACCACGAAACTCCATAGGCCCCAGTAGCGTTCGCGCAGCAGCCCCCAGCTGGCCACGGCCGAGACCAGGCAGAGCAGTGCGGCGATCATCGAGGCAACCACCGGGTGCGCCAGCAGCCAGGCCAGGCTGTGCATCTGCCGATGCTGTGCTTCACCCGCCAGCAGCTGCCAGAGTGGAACGTCGTGCAGCGGCCACACCAGCAGCCCCTGCAGCACGAAATAGCCGGCCAGCAGCGCGGACAGCCAGAACGACGCCTGGACCAGTGGCCGGATCCACGCGTGGTAGGGCGAAGGCTGCAACGAGGGCGGCGGGAGCGGCACTGACATCCGGTGTCCTTGCAATCGGCACCCGCGCGGTCAGCGGGCCGTCACCCGGGTGGCGACGGCCGGCAGGATATGGTGTTCGCTCAGCGGTGCCAAGGGCAGGCCGTGCGGCGGCTGCAGCGGCACCCAGGCCAGTTCGGCAATCTCGGCGCGCGCCTGCGGTGTACCGTCCACCTGCACCCACCACGCCTGCGCCCGCACGCGATGGCCGGGCTCGTTCACCGCCCAGTCTTCGAAGGCGCCCAGCGCGAGGGTGGCATCGGCGCGCAGCTGCACGCCCAGTTCCTCGTCCAGCTCGCGGGCCAGCGCCTGCAGCGGCGCTTCGCCGGGTTCGGGCTTGCCGCCCGGCTGGATGAAGCGGTGGGCGCCGTGCTTGCGCACCACCAGCGCCCGGCCACGGTCATCCAGGATGACCGCGGCCACGATCTCTATCGTGGCCGCGGCAGTGCTCATTTCAGGTTCTGCTCGAACAGCTTGAGGATGCGCTTGTACTGGTCCAGCCAGGAATCGGCACGGACATAGCCGTGGCGTTCCAGCGGGTACGGCGCGATCGACCAGTTGTCCTTGTGCAGTTCGATCAGGCGCTGGGTGAGGTTCACCGAGTCCTGGAAGAACACGTTGTCATCCATCATTCCGTGGGCGATCAGCAGGTTGTCCTGCAGGTTCTGCGCGTACTCGATGGGCGAGGACACGCGGTACGCCTCCGGATCGATGTCCGGGGTGTTGAGGATGTTGCTGGTGTAGCCGTGGTTGTACTGGTGCCAGTCGACCACCGGACGCAGCGCGGCGCCGGCCTTGAAGGTGCCCGGCGAGCGGAACAGCGCCATGAAGGTCATGAAGCCGCCGTAGGAACCGCCGTAGATGCCGGCGTGGTCGCGGTCACCCTGCTGGGTGCCGACCAGCCAGTCCAGGCCGTCCTTGTAGTCTTCCAGTTCCGGGTGGCCCATGTTGCGGTAGATCGCCGTACGCCAGTCGCGGCCGTAGCCCTCGCTGCCGCGGTAATCCATGTCCAGCACGATGTAGCCCTTCTGCACCAGCAGGTTGTGGAACATCTGCTCGCGGAAGTAGGCCGGGTAGCGCTGGTGCACGTTCTGCAGGTAGCCGGCGCCGTGCACGAACATCACGATCGGGTACTTGCGGCCCGGCTCCTTGTTTTCCGGTTCGTAGTACTTGGCCCAGACCACGCCGGCGCCATGCTTGGACGGCACCGCCACCAGCTTCGGCTGGATCCACTGGCGGGCCTTGTAGTCGGCGGTGCGGGTATCGGTCAGCACGCGCGCCTGGCCGCCGGCACTGGGCAGCACCGCCAGCTGCGGCGGCAGGTAGGCGCCGGAGTAGCGCACTAGCAGCTGCTGGCCATCCGGCGACAGCGAGAAGTCTTCCACGCCGTTGAGGCTGGTCAGCTCGCGCACCTGGCGGCTGCCGGTGTCGACCGCGCAGACTTCATAGTCATGCGGGGCCTGCTGGTTGCACAGGAAGTAGAAGCCCTTGCCATCGGCCGACAGCACCGGTGCCGAGGTCTCCCACTTGCCGCTGGTCAGCGCCTGCGGCTTGGCGCTGCCGGCCTGGGTGTACAGATGCGAGAAGCCCGATTCCTCGGACAGCAGCCACAGCGTGCGGCCGTCGGCCATCCAGCCGAAATCGTTGAAGCCCCAGTTGATCCAGGCGTTGTCGGTCAGCCTGTGGCGGTTCTGCACGCGGCCGTCGGCGGCGTTGACGCTGATGATCCAGCGGTCCTTGTTGTCGTTGGCACGCAGCATCACCGCGGCCTGCTGGCCGTCGGCGCTCCAGCGGATGCCACCGCCCATGAAATCACTCATCACCTGCACGCTGCGCTCGCCCTTCAGCGCGTCCTTGCCGGCCTTGCGGCGCAGTTCGGCCAGCGGATCGGTGCCGATGCCCGGCAGGCCCGACAGCGAGAGCTTCTCGGCCTTGCCGGAGCGCACGTCGACGTACCACAGGGTGTGCGGCTCGAAGCCGTTGCGGCCAACGCGGGTGCGGGTGTCCTCGGTTTCCTCGTAGCCTGATTCGGTCACGTACAGCGGCATCTTGCCGCCGCGACCGTCATCGAAGTCCTTCGGCTTGGTCACCACGATCAGGTGGCCCAGGTCCGGCGACAGCACGCTGTCGGCAATCTCCACATCGGTGCCCAGGTACACCGGGCCGGGCGCGCGGGTCGGGTCGGCCTGGCGCCAGCGCTGGTCCTGGTCCTTCAGCGCCTCGCGCTGGTCGCGGTCGCGGCGCAGTGTTTCCAGCGTACGCAGCTGCTGGTCGCGCAGCACGTCGGCCTTCGGCGGCGTACGCGGGTCCTTCTCGGCCTTCAGGCTGGCCACCTGCTGCACGCCGCTGGCGGCGGTCCAGTGGAACCAGTTCTGGCCGACGCGCCAGATCACGCCGTTGTCGGCCGCGAAGTTCACGTTGCCCGCGCGCTCGTTGCTGCGGGTCAGCTGGGTCAGCGCGCCGCTGCGCAGGTCACGCACGAACACGTCGCCATTGCGCACGAACGCACTGCGGCTGCGGCTGCGGTCGTAGACCGGCTCGGCTACGTCCAGGGTGCCGCGCTGGTCATCGGCCACCTGCGCGGCCACGCCACCGGCCACCGGCTGGCGGAAGGTGTCGCGCACCGGGCTGCCGTTGCGCTTGAGCTGGTACTCCACCTGCTGGCTGTTCCACGACCACCAGGCCTTCTCGACCGGCGGGCCGATCCAGTCCGGGTCGGCCATGGCCTGTTCGATGGTGATCGGCGTCGGCGCGGCATACGCGGCCGGTGCGGCCAGCACGGCCGACAGCAGGAGGGACAGGGGCAGCACTCGGGACATGGGCGGACGGCACCGGAAGAGGAAACCGGGCAAGGGTAGCAGCCGCCCCGGCCGCGGGCAGGGGCCACAGGTCATGGCAGCGGAATCGGCAAACTGCTGCAACCGGTTGCCGTGGTCGCGCATCCATTGTCCTGAACCCGCATCATCCACCGAACAGGAGCCCGACCATGCAGGAACTGATCCCGATCACCCTCTTCATCTGCATCGCCTATGCGATCCATGCCATTGCCGATGCCCGCGCCCGCAGCAAGCTGGTGGCCCCACACGTGCCGGAGGAAGTGATCCGCTCGCTGGCCGTGCTGGAAGAGGAGCGCCGCCGCCAGGGCGCGCTGCGCTGGGGCATCAGCCTGGTCTGCCTGGCGCTGGCGATGGCCCTGCTGGAAGTCATCGGCGCCCGTGACCTGACCTTCGGTGCCGCCGCCGCGCTGGTTGGCAGCGCCGGCCTGGGCCAGCTGCTGGCCTGGCACTTCACCCGTCCTGCGGCGCGCAAGGGCTGAGCTGGCCCATGCCACGGGCACAGGGGGCGCCCCGTAGATGAGCCTGCTCGGCGAAGCATTGTCGGCATTGCGGGGCCGTCGCCGCCACGATGCAGCAGCGGCGGGGGCACTCGCTGCACCGCTGGATGCGGACCAGGCCCTGGTACGGGCCATCATCGACGGCTCGCAGGCGGCGTTCTCGCAGCTGGTGGAGACCCATCAACGCACCTGCGCGCATGTGATCGGGCGCATGGTCGGCGACCGCGACCAGGTCGCCGACCTGCTGCAGGAGACCTTCCTGGCGGTGTTCCGCCAGCTGCACCGGTTCCGCTTTGAATCCTCGCTACGCACCTGGGTTTCGCGGGTGGCCTACACCACTGCGTTGCAGCACCTGCGCCGGCGGCGGCTGGAGGCGCAATGGATGGTGGCGGTGGAGGTGCCCGAGGAACTGGGCATCGGCGATGAAGGCCCCGGGCCGGCTGAATTCAGCGAATCGCTGCAGGCCGGTCGCCAGCTGGGCGCGGCACTGGAGCGATTGAGTGCGCCGCAGCGATTGATTGTGGGCCTGCATTATCTGGAGGACTTCGATCTGGCCGAGATCGAGCAGGTCACCGGGCTGGCGCGCGGTACCATCAAGAGCCACCTGTACCGCGCGCGGCAGATCCTGAAGCAGGAGCTGACGCGGCACGCCACCGCCGGAGAACTGCTGTGAGCCAATCGACTGACCCTCGCGATGCGGACGAGCGCGCGCTGGCACAGGCGTTGCGTGAGCAGGCGCAGCAGGAGCAGACGCCGGATGTGAGCGAGGCACTGCAGAAGCGCATCACAGCCGAATCGCGCGATAGCGGTGTGCTTTACGTGGTGGTGCAGGTGCTGTTGTTTGGCGCGCTGCTGGCTGCCGCGGCCTGGTATTTCTGGCACTGAGGCGTCCTCCGGGCGGTGGGCCTGGTAGATGCCGACTTTGGTCGGCGTTTGGGCGTGTGTGCCAACCAAGGTTGGCAGCTACCAGAGCGGTTGACCCCTGCGACAAAGTGAAGCAGCGCGTCACCCGGTCGCATCCCGGCTTAACCAAATCCTCCTAAAGTGGTCCGGTATCCCACCGGTCGCAGGCAGGAGGCGTCCCTTGGACGCGTTGTTGTTGTCCCGGATCCAGTTCGGATTCGTCATCAGTTTCCACGTGCTGTTCCCGGCCTTCACCATCGGCACGGCCAGCTGGCTGGCCTTCATTGAATGGCGCTGGCTGCGCACGAAACTGCCCGTGTGGCGCGAGCTGTATTTCTTCTGGCAGAAGATCTTCGCCGTGTCATTCGGCATGGGCGTGGTCAGCGGCATCGTCATGGCCTTCCAGTTCGGTACCAACTGGCCGCGGCTGAGCGAAGTGGCCGGCACGGTCATCGGCCCGCTGCTGACCTATGAAGTGCTGACCGCCTTCTTCCTGGAAGCCAGCTTCCTGGGCGTGATGATGTTCGGCTGGGGGCGGGTTTCGCCGCGCCTGCATTTCCTGTCCACCTGCATGGTGGCGCTGGGCACGCTGTTTTCCACGTTCTGGATCCTCTCGTCCAACAGCTGGCTGCACACGCCGGCCGGCTACGAGATGGTCAATGGCATCTTGCACCCGGTGGACTGGTGGCAGGTGGTGTTCAACCCCTCGTTCCCGTACCGCCTGGCGCACATGGCGCTGGGTTCGTTCATCACCACCTGTTTCGTGATCGGTGGCGTCGGCGCGTGGTACCTGCGCAAGGGCACGCACGTGGAAGCCGGCCGGCGCATGCTGGTCGCGGCGGTAGCGTTCGCGGCGCTGACCGTGCCAGTGCAGATCTTCGTCGGCGACATGCATGGCCTGAACACGCTCAAGCACCAGCCGATGAAGATCGCGGCGATGGAAGCGCACTGGCATGAAACCAAGGAAGGCGAGGGCGTGCCGCTGGTGGTGTTCGCGCTGCCCAACGAAAAGGAAGAGCGCAACGATTTCGAAGTGGCGATCCCGAAGCTGGGCAGCGTGATCCTCACCCATTCGCTGGACGGCAGCTTCGATCCGCTCACGTCGGTACCGGCCAGCGAACGGCCGCCGGTGACGCCGGTGTTCTTCGCCTTCCGCATCATGGTCGGGCTGGGCACGCTGATGCTGCTGCTGGCCTGGGTCTCGGCATTCCAGCTGTGGCGCCGGAAGCTGCTGGATTCGCCGTGGCTGCTGCGCGGCTGGAACTGGATGTTGCCGAGTGGCTTTATCGCACTGCTGTCCGGCTGGTTCGTCACCGAAATGGGGCGCCAGCCGTGGGTGGTGTATGGCGTGCTGCGCACCGCCGATGCGGTCGGCCCGCAGAGCGCGTGGATGACCGCGCTGTCGCTGGGTGTCTACGTGGTCGGCTATGCCTTCGTGTTCGGCTGGGGTATCTGGTACCTGGTGAAGATCCTGCGCCATGGGCCGCAGCCGTATGCCGAAGGGCCATCGCTGGACCACGGCAGCCACACCCCGGCGCGCCCGCTGTCGGCAGCCGACGAACCGCTGGAGGATCGCTGACATGGACCTGATGACCTGGCTGCCGGTGGCGTGGTTCGCGGTGATCGGTTTCGGTGTGCTGATGTATGTGGTGCTGGATGGCTTCGTGCTCGGCATCGGCATCCTCGCCCCGTTCGCCGAAGACGAGGAACAGCTGGACCTGATGATGAACACCGCCGCACCGATCTGGGACGGCAACGAGACCTGGCTGGTGCTGGGCGGCGCCGGCCTGCTGGCGGCATTCCCCAAGGCGTACGCGGTGCTGCTGTCGGCGCTGTACCTGCCGGTGCTGCTGCTGGTGGTGGCGCTGGTGTTCCGCGGCGTGGCCTTCGAGTTCCGCTTCAAGGCGCATCGCTCACGCCGGTTGTGGAGCGTGGCGTTCGCACTGGGCTCGCTGCTGGCCACCTTCGCCCAGGGCGTGATCCTCGGCACGCTGGTGCAGGGCCTGCCCCTGCAGGACGGCGTCTATCACGGTGGCCCGTTCGCCTGGTTCAGTCCGTTCGCGATGTTGACCGGCGCTGCGCTGGTGGCCGGCTACGCACTGCTGGGCAGTACCTGGCTGATCCTGAAGACCGAAGGCCGCGTGCAGGCGCTGGCGCGGCAGATGACCCGGCCGCTGGTGGTGGCGGTGATCGCGGCGATGGGCCTGGTCAGCAGCTGGCTGCCTTTCCTGCAGTCGCGCCTGATGGACCGCTGGTTCAGCGATGGCAACTTCTGGTGGCTGTCGCCGGTACCGCTGCTGACCCTGGCGGTGGCGGCCGCGTTGTGGCGCAGCGCCACCCATCCGCGCCGTGACCTGCCGCCGTTCCTGCTCAGCCTTGCCCTGTTCGTGCTCGGCTTCCTCGGCCTGGTGCTGGGCATGTGGCCGTACCTGCTGCCGCCATCGATGACCCTGTGGCAGGCCGCTGCGCCGGCATCATCGCTGGGCTTCACCCTGGTCGGGCTGGTGATCCTGCTGCCGGTCATCCTCGGCTACACGGCGTGGTCCTACCGGGTGTTCCGCGGCAAGGTGCACGCCGACGCCGGCTATCACTGAGCATCGGGCCAAGGCTGAACGCCGTCGCCACATTGCTGAACCTCGTCGGGGAAACACCGTCGATCACGCCGCCATCGTCGGCTGACGGCTTTCCCCGGTGTCGGCTTTCCGACACAATCATGGCTCTTCCCGGGTTATTGTCCCGCGGACATGCACGCCTACGTCTATAAAAGCCAACTCAAGCCGGACACCTACGTCTACGTTCCCCGACGCGAAGATTTCAGCGCGCTGCCTGCGCCGCTGCTCAAATCGCTGGGGACGCTCACTTTCGTGCTGGACGTTGCCCTGGATGCCCAGCGCCGCCTGGCCCAGGCCGACCCGGACAAGGTCCGCAGCGAAATGAGCGAACGCGGCTTCTACCTGCAGGTGCCGCCGTCGGTGGCCAGCCTGATGCCGCGGCACTATGACTGATCCCTCCCGTCCGCGCGCGCTGTCGATCGCCTTCACTGTTGGCGCCGTGCTGGCGCTGGGCGCTGCCGTGGGCGGCGTCCCGGGCGCCCTGCTTGCCGCATTGGCGCAGCCTGCGTTCGCGCTGGGCGTGTCGTGGTGGCGGCGCAGCCGCGCGCTGCTGCCGTTGAAGGTGGTTGCGCGCCAGGATTTGCCCGCGCTGCTGGCGCTGTGGGCGGCCGCACCGGTCCTGCTGGCGCTGCTGCTGGCCTGGCCGCTGGCGGCGCTGCGCGATAGCGGCAGCCTGGCCGCGGTGCTGGGCCTGAGCGTGCTGGTCAGTGCCGGCCTGCTGGCGGCCTGGCGCACCTGGCCGTTGTGGAACGATGTCGAACGCCTGGATGGCAGCCTGGCCCAACACTGGCAGGCGCTGGCCGGGCGCGACCTGACCGCCTGGCGCGGCCTCGGTGTGGCCGCGCTGGTGATCGCGCTGGCGGCACTGGTGGTGCTGCCGGCCTGGCCCGACCTGCTGCCTGAAAGTGCACGATGGCCGGCCGCGCTGGCGGTGGTGGTGCTGTCGCCGCTGCTGCACCTGCTGCTGCAGCGGGTGGCGCCCGCACCGCTGGTGTCGTTGCGTACTGGCGCGTTGAACGCGACCAGCCACGAACACGAACCGATGTTCGCCGCCGCGGCCGAGACCGCGCCGCTGGAGGCGATGGCGCCGCAGGAACTGACCCCGGCCCTGTACGAAGCCGCCCGCCATGGCCGCATCGACCGCGGCCTGCAGCTGCTGCAGGCCGGTGCCGATCCCTATGCATTGCCGGACCCGAACTGGCGCGACCAGCGCAGCCTGGCGGTACTGGCCGCGGTGCTGCCGGACCTGCGCCTGCTGCGCGAGCTGATCGCCCGCGGCGTCGACGTGAACGCGCCGCACCGCGGCATGACTCCGCTGCTGGCGGCGACCCGTGACAGCTGGCATGGCCGCCCCGAAGCGGTGATGACCCTGCTCGCCAACGGCGCCGATTCGCGCGCCACCGACGGAGACGGCAACACGCCGCTGCACCATGCTGCGCGCAGTTCCGACCCGGGCGTGGCGGCGCTGCTGCGCGATGCCGCGGCCGAAGTCGACGCGCTGAACAACGACGGCTGGTCACCGCTGGCGGTGGCCTGCCAGGTCGGCAACTGGCGCCTGGCGCGTTTCCTGCTCGAACGCGGTGCCCGCAGCGAGCCGGCCGAAGGCACCCCGGTGCTGCTGGCTGCCGCCGCCACCGAAGACGATGATCCGGCCGGCGTGCAGCTGCTGCTCAAGCACAAGGCACGGGCCGACGCGCGTGATCGCCAACGCCGCAGCGCGCTGCACGAGGCCGCACTGGCCGGCCACGTCGAGATCATCGGCGTGCTGCTCGGTGCCGGCGCCAACCTGGAAGCGCGCGATGCGCTGGGCCGTACGCCGTGGCTGGAAGCGGCCCGTGCCGGCCGTGCCGCCGTGGTCGAGCACCTGCTTCCACACAAGCCGGACCTGGTTGCAGTGGACGGCGAAGGCCGCAACGCGGTGCAGCTGGCGGTGATGGCCGAGGATGTCTCGCCGCTGCTGATCAAGCGCCTGGTTGAGCTGGGCATCGCCGCCGATGCCGCCGATCCGGTCGGCCGCCGCGCGGTGGACTACGCTGCTGAAGCGGGCCGCTGGGCGATCGTCGCACTGCTGGACCCGTCCTATCCGTTGCCGGCTGCGGTCAGTGATGGGCTGGCCGAGCGCGGCGAAGCGGCCATGGCCAGCGGCCTGCTGCCGGACCGTCCGCCGCTGACCCTGCTGCGTGAAGCGTTGGGCTTCGGCAACACCGAAGGCATGGCCGCGCTGGCCAGGCTGTGCCAGCCGGAAGAACTGGGTGGCCTGCTGCTCGATCCTGAGCTGGCGCTGGAACCACGTGCGGTCGACTGGCTGCTGGGCCACGGCGCCGATCCCTATGTGCGTGACGCCTGCGCCGACACGCCGATGTTCGCTTTGCTGTCGCGCGGCATTGATGCGGTGCCTGCACTGCAGGTGATGCTGCAGCGTGGCCTGTCGCCGGCCGGACGCGGTGGCCTCGCGCGCTTCCTCGCCGCCTGCGCCAGCACGACCAGGCCGCCCGAGGGCTGGAACAGCTGGCGCTGGAATTGCTGGAACGTGGCGCCGATCCGTTTGCGGCCTCGCCGGCCGGTGATCCGCCGCTGTCGCTGGCGGTACGCCTGGGTTGGCTGCGCCTGCAGCAGGCCCTGTTGAAGGCTGGCGTCGATCGCGAAGCGCGCGACAGCCACGGCATGACCGCCTTGCATCTGGCCACCGCGCTGGCCCGAGAAGGTGCACTGAAGCTGCTGGTGCAGCACGGTGCCTCGCCAGAGGCACGCGCCGCCGATGGCCAGACGCCGTTGGGCGTGGCGCTGTCGATTGGGCGCCGTGACCTGGCCGACTGGCTGGACTGGCGGGTGTGGCCGTTGCCACGCCGCACCCTGCGCGAGGCCGATCTACCGGCCGCCGCGATGGCCGGTGATGTGGACGCTGTGCGCCGCCTGATCGATCTGGGATTTGCGGTCGACGCGGTTGATGCACAGGGCTGCACCGCGCTGCTGCGTGCGGCCGGTGGCGGCCATCTGGCAGTGACCGATCTGCTGCTGGCGCGTGGCGCCGATCCGCAGCACGCCGCGGCCAGTGGTGCCACGCCGTTGTCGGCGGCGGTCAGCATGCGCCAGGTCGATATCGTCTCGGCCCTGCTCGATGCCGGTGCCAAGCTGGAACATCGCCTGCCGGGCGGAGTGACGGTGCTGATGCTGGCCTCGGCGCTTGGCCTGCCGGACATCGTCGCGCGCCTGCTCACCGCCGGTGCCGACGTGCACGCCGGTGACGCGCAGCAGCTGGGTCCGCTGCACTGTGCCGCGCTGTATGGCTTCAGTGCCCGTGACCGCTCGCGCCTGCTGGCCCTGCTCGACACCCTGCTGCTGGCCGGTGCGGAACCGGACCAGGCTGCTGCCGGTTCGGTTACGCCGTTGCTGCTGCTGCTGGGCGCACGCGCCGAGCCGGGTACCGCCTGCGACGAGCAGGTGGTGATGGCCGCGGTGGAGCGCCTGCTGGACGAGGACGTGAGCCTGGACGTGCGTGACCCGCGCGGTTTCGGCCCGCTGCACCTGGCCGCCCTGCACGGTTTGCCGCTGCTGGTGCAGCGCCTGCTGCGTGCCGGTGCCGATCCGGAAGTGCGCGACAGCCTCAACCGCAGCCCACGCGAGATCGCGGTGATGCGCGGCTTCATCGACGTGGCCGGTGAGTTCGAGCCGCGCGTGCCGGGTGTTTCCTCGATGGCCCGGTTCCTGCGCGACAACGGCTGATCCCAGCGGCCGGCACGACCGGGTTCGCGAATCATCGGGTGGGTGCCGACCTTGGTCGGCACGCCTACGTGTCGTCGCTTTCCGCGTCGGCCTCGAACAGGTGCATCAGGTCGTTGCGCGCATCGCGCGAGGTCTGGATCACCGCGGCCTCGTCGTCGTAGACCAGGTACTGGTCGCGCAGCAACTGCTCGTCGTGTTCGCGGAAGCGCTGCACATGGCGTTCGGCCACGTTCGGGGCCACGCCCAGCGCGGTCAGCACGCGCCCGCTCATTTCCAGGCTGGTGCCGAACACTTCGCGGAACGGCTCGGCCGACATGTCCATCAGCCGCCACGCATGCTGGCGGTTGCGCGCTCGCGCCAGCACCGTCGCATCCGGGTACAGCCGGCGCACCATGCGCACCGCGCGCAGGTTGGTCTCCGGGTCATCCACGGTGATCACGAACACATCGATGTGCTCGCCACCGGCCGCGCGCAGCATTTCGGGCCGGGTCGGGTCGCCGTAGTACAGCTGGTTGCCGAAGCGGCGCAGGTCGGCCACGGTGTCCGGGTTCGCCTCCAGCGCCACGAACGGCACCTTCTGCGCGGTCAGCAGGCGCGCGATCACCTGGCCGAAGCGGCCCATGCCGGCGATCAGCACCTTCGGCCGGTTGTCCGGTGCCACCTTGTCAGCCTCGGCGGCCTGGCGCGGTGCGGCCTTTTCCTGGCCGAGCAGCCTGAGCAGCGCGATCATCAGCAGCGGTGTGATCGCCATCGACAGGCCGACAATGGCCACCAGCCGGTCATGGTTGGCGTTGCCCAGCAGGTGCGCTCGCTGCGCTTCGTTGAACACCACGAAGGCGAATTCACCGCCCAGCCACAACACGCTGCCCAGCAGCAGCGACTGTCGCGAACTGAGCCTTGCAATACGCCCGATCACGTACAGCAGGCCGAACTTGACCACCAGCAGGATGCCGACGCCGGCGGCGATCAGCCACGGCTCGGACGCGATGCGGTCGAGGTCGATGCCCATGCCCACCGCAATGAAGAACAGGCCCAGCAGCAGCCCCTTGAACGGCTCGATCTGTGCTTCCAGTTCGTGCCGGAATTCCGAGTCGGACAACAGCACGCCGGCCAGGAATGCACCCAGGCTGGGGCTGAGGCCGGCTTCCTGCATGAACCAGGCGGTGCCCAGCACCACCAGCAGGGCGGTGGCGGTGAACACTTCCGGGCTGCGGGTGCGCGCAATGATGCTGAACACCCTGCGCAGCACCGACCGCCCGCACAGGATCACCACCGCCAGCGCGCCCAGCGCCACGGCCGCGTCCTCCCAGCGCAGCGTCTCGTTCTTGACCCCGCCCAGCAGCGGAATGGCCGCCAGCAATGGGATCGCGATCAGATCCTGGAACAGCAGGATCGCAAAGCCCAGCCGGCCATGGTCGCTGTTGATCGCCTTGTGCTCGGACAGCAGCTGCAGGCCCACCGCGGTGGACGACAGCGCCAGCGCCACACCCACCACCAGCGCGCTTTTCCACTGGAAATGGTCGAGCAGCAACAGGCCGCCCAGCACCAGCCCGGACAGCGCCACCTGCGCCGCACCGGCACCGAACACCGAGCGCCGCATCACCTTCAGGCGTGCCGGCGACAGTTCCAGGCCGATCACGAACAGCAGCATCACCACACCGATCTCGGCGGCGCCGAGGATGCGGTCGGCGTCCTGCACGAAGCCCAGCCCGTCCGGGCCCAGCACCACGCCGGCCGCCAGGTAGCCCAGCACCGCGCCGAAGCCGAACTTCTTGAACACCGGCACAGCGATGACCGCCGCCAGCAGCAGCACCAGCGCCAGTTCCAGACCACCGCTATGCATGGGAGTACCTGGTCATCGGGGGAACCGGCCGCGCGTCCGTTCGGAGGAGGGAAAGCATGGCGAACGCCACTGCCACATTATGCGCGCCGGTGCGTGTACGCACGAGGACACGCGTGCGGGCAACGCTGCCGGCTGGCCCCGGGTTGACCTGCCTGCCCGGCAGGTCCAGACTCCCCGCCGCTGGCGGCGCGTCCGCCGGCACACGCATCCCGGAGTCAACGCAGAGTACTGAAGTCGACCTCGTTCGACGCCAGCGATGGCCACCGCCTGACATCGGGACGGTTTGCCTGCGTTGGCGTTGCGCGAGGTCGCACCCCCACAAGGCAGAACCGATGAACCAGAAGCAATTGCTGCGCGCAGGGGCCGATGCTGCTGCCCTGGCCGCACCCCTGGCGAACTACAACACCGCCGACGCGGTGGAGTTCCTCAATACGCTGGAGCTGACCCGCGCCGCGGACACGCTGGCGGCGCTGCCGTTGCCGCGTGCGGTGAAGATGCTCGAAGCGCCGGAACTGCACCGCAGTGGCGAGCTGGTGGCCGCGTTGCCGCCGGCGCGCGCCGCCGCCCTGCTCGGGCTGATGGCCGATGACCGCGCCACCGACATCGTGCACGAGCTGGACGAGGACGAGCGCGCGCGGTTGATCCCGCTGCTGGGCACCGATGCCCGCCAGGCCATCCAGAAGCTGCTGAGCTACCCGCCCAACACCGCCGGCGCGCTGATGACCACCGAGTACGTGGCGGTGCCCGCCAGCTGGACCGTGGCGCAGACCCTGCAGCACATCCGCCAGGTCGAGCGCACCCGCGAAACGGTGTACGCGATCTACGTGCTGGACCCGGCCAGCCAGCACCTCCAGCAGGTGGTGACCATGCGCCGGCTGATCACCGGGTTGCCGGAGGAATCGATCCTGGACGTGGCCCAGGTCAATCCGCCGGTGACCGTTGACGCGCTGATGGACCAGGAGGAAGTGGCGCGGCTGATCCGCCGCCACGACCTGCTGGCGATCCCGGTGGTCGATGCGCAGCAGCAGATGCTTGGCATCGTCACCGTCGATGACGTGCTGGATGCGCTGATCGAGGAATCCACCGAGGATGCGCACAAGTTCGGCGGCATGGAAGCGCTGGACAAGCCGTACATGCAGATCGGCTTCCTTGAGATGCTGCGCAAGCGTGCTGGTTGGCTGAGCGTGCTGTTCCTGGGCGAGATGCTGACCGCGAGCGCCATGCAGCACTACGAGGACGAACTGGCGCGCGCGGTGGTGCTGACCCTGTTCATTCCACTGATCATGAGTTCGGGTGGCAACTCCGGTTCGCAGGCCACCTCGCTGCTGATCCGCAGCCTGGCGCTGCGCGAACTGCGCCTTCGCGACTGGTGGAAAGTGGCCCTGCGCGAGATCCCGACCGGCATGGTGCTCGGCGCCATCCTCGGCTGCCTGGCCATCGTGCGCATCGTGATCTGGCAGCTGGGTGGCCTGCACGACTACGGCGAGCACTGGATCCTGCTGGCGATCACCATCGGTGCGGCGCTGGTCGGCATCGTCACCTTCGGCTCGCTGTCCGGCTCGATGCTGCCGTTCATCCTGAAGCGCCTCGGCTTCGACCCGGCCAGCGCCTCGGCCCCGTTCGTCGCCACCCTGGTGGATGTCACCGGCCTGGTGATCTATTTCAGCATCGCCGCGATGATCCTGCACGGCACGCTGCTGTAACAAAAAGGGGACGGAGGGGATTAAGTCGTTTGTGCCACAAACGACTTAATCCCCTCCGTCCCCTTTTTGGGTACCGTAGGCGCATGAGTACCTACCATCTGCAGTCTGTGTTCCGTCCGCAGTCGGTCGCGGTGATCGGTGGCAGCCCGCGCGAGCGTTCGGCCGGCCGTGCGGTGATGCGCAACCTGCGTGGCACCGGCTTTCCCGGCAAGGTGGCCTGGATCAACCCGCGACATGCCGAGATCGATGGCATCCGCACGGTCAAACGGCTGAAGGACCTGGACTGGGTGCCTGACCTGGTGGTGATCACCGCGCCGGCGACGATCGTGCCGCAGGTGGTGCGCACCGCGGCCGAACGTGGCGTGCAGGCGGCGATCATCCTCACCGCGCACCTGGGCGAAGGCCCCGGCTCGCTGTCGGCGCAGGTGGAGGCGGTGGCGCGCACGCATGGCCTGCGCATCCTTGGCCCGCACTGCCTGGGCGTGATCGCGCCGCACGCGCGGCTCAACGCCAGCATCGCCGCACATTTCCCGCAGGCCGGCGACCTCGCGCTGATCTCCGAATCCTCGGCCATTGCCGCCGCACTGGTGGAATGGGGCGTGGCGCGCTCGGTCGGTTTCTCTGCCGTGGTCTCGCTGGGCGACACGATGGATGTCGACTTCGGCGACCTGCTCGATTACTTCGCCACCGACTACCGCACCCGCGCCATCCTGCTCTATGTCGAGCAGATCAAGGACGCGCGCAAGTTCATGTCGGCCGCGCGTGCTGCCGCGCGTGCCAAGCCGGTGGTGGTGGTGAAGTCGGGCCGCGCCGAACGCGTGCAGCCGGGCAGCCGCGATACCCACGTGCAGGCACTTGCGCGCGCCGACGATGTCTACGGCGCGGCGTTCAACCGCGCCGGCCTGCTGCGCGTCGGTGCGCTGGACGAACTGTTCACCGCCGCCGAGTCGCTGGGCCGGCTGGGCACCTTCCCCGGCCGCCGCCTGGCCATCCTCAGCAACGGCGGCGGTGTCGGCCGCCTCGCGGTGGACCAGCTGATCGCACTGCGGGGCACGCTGGCCAACCTGTCCGACAGCACCATCGAAAAGCTCGACGCGGTGCTGCCGCAGGGCTGGTCGCGCAGCAATCCGGTCGACATCGTGGTCGATGCCGACGGTGACCGCTACGCCTCGGCGATCGAAGCGCTGCTGGCCGACAACGAGAACGACGCGGTGATGGTGGTCAACGTGCCGACCGCGTTCACCTCGTCCGCCGATGCGGCACAGGCGCTGACCCGCACGCTCGGCCTGCGCCCGCGCCATCACCGCGACAAGCCGGTATTCGCGGTGTGGCTGGGCAACGATGACCAGGCCACCGCCACGCTCAACGCGGCGCGGGTGCCGACCTATCCGACCGAGGCCGAAGCCGTGCGTGGCTTCCAGCATCTGGTGCGTTACCGCGAAGCGCAGAACGCG